CAGCCTCCCAGTGCCCCCAGCCAGCCTCCCAGTGCCTCCCACTTCCTTCACTGCCTTTGGGTTCAGCATCTTCTCCCCTCGGCCAGCAGCTCCTCCGCTCCCTTCTCCTGGCCTTTACCCCTGCTCCAAGTCCCAGCTCCCATCCAGCTCCTCTGCTTGGCCCAGGTGTCCCTGGGCTCTGCAGCCACCTTGTCTTCATCTCTTTTTCTTCTTCCCATTCTTCTGCCTTGGCTTCCTCCTCCATCCTGCCATGGTTCCCACCTGAGAGCCTGAAAGGAAATTCTGTGAGCTCTCCCGTGCCAGGGGAGCCTCCTGTGCCTCCAGCACTGCAGCTCCAGCCCTCTCTGCCCCCCTGAGCAGGGCCACAGCCACCTGCAGGCCAGGGAGACGCAGATCTCCATGGGGACAGGAGCTCTGTGAGTGCTCTGCACCTCTCAAGGGTGCTCACCTGCACCTTTTCATCACTAAATAGTGATTTTTTTTCCCCCCCAATCAGTTTTAAGTTCTTCAAGAAGACCTGAGTAGGAACTCAGAAAATTAAGGATCCACATTCCTTTTCCAGAATGCCCAACCTTTTTTAGTTTCAGAAGAGCCTAAAAAGATCAGGGTGAAGTGTTTTCCCTTAGCTTAAGTGCTTAAAAAGAAATTGATAGCAAAATATGTAAATAAAATAGAGCCCAGAGCACCTGGTGTGGTGCACACACCCCTAACAAAATTTCAATTTTATTACAACTTCTAAAGTGAGAAACAATTGAGAAAAATCTTATCATGGCAAGTTCTTGATAAATAATACAAAATGGTAGTTTTGATTTTGGCCATAATGATATTCATGAGCCCTTAGGCACAAATCCCATATAAATACATGTCTGTGGTAAAGGAAAAAGAAGTAAAGCACCTTTCTTCAACCTAACTCGATACAAAGCTAAATTTTTTCATGCTGGAGCTAAAGATGCTGTTGGGAAGGTCTCAGCAGAAGCGTTTTGTGGCCAATTAGCCCAGAGAAAGGAGTGCAGGGGAGCAGCCCAGGGATTCCTTTGGGATTCCCAATTCCATTGGGAACTGTCACTTCCCATTAAAGTGAAGATGAACCCATAGGTCAGACAAGCTCTGAAAAGTGGAAATCTGGGAGGCTTCACCCTGCAAAGCTCTGGTCTCCAAGGGTCCGTGGCAGCTTCAGGAGCCAGCGAAGCTTTGCAGTCACAAATACACAAACAAAGCCCTTCAGTTTTATTGAACCTGTGCTGCATAATTCAGCCCTGGGCACTCTGTCTAATGACCTCTCAGGACGTTGTATTTTGTTTTATTTTTCATGAGGTAATTGTCATTTGACTTTCTGACAGATTTTCTCCCCCCCTTGCCCCCCCCCCCCCCCCCCCCCCCCACCATGAGTTATAGTCAATTAAACTCAGTTTTGCTGTGGCAAAGCTGATCTAGAAGAAGGTTATTTCCACCCCTGCATTTGCTTTTCCACCTCTGAAATATTTTGGAAGTCAGGCAAAAAAGTGGCCAAATGAAACATCTTCCACAGGTTGTTTGCTAAAGCAGGGATTCTCCAGCTTTTTCTGTTTTCTAGTTCGTTGTGTACAGTTTTGTTAAATCTGGCTTGGGCTCTCCTGGCTTTGTGGTGGCTGATGCCATGATTTGTCACCTTTGTTGTGAAACTTTGTTCTGAAAGCTCCAATCCGTCTGAAGTACACCACAGGTCTGAGAATTAATTCTAAAGGTGTAGTCCCTGGTTTTTAGATGCCTTTAATCCAGCAGATCCTTAATTTTAAGGAGGCTGAAGCTGGCTGTGATTCTCTTGGGGCTTTTGGCCACCAGCATCAACACCTTTGCTTGTAAGTGTGTCCCTCGTGTGGGTTAGGGGACTTCTCCCAAATCACCAGATTTGCAATATTGAGGTCCTGTTTCGAGATTTTGGCTGCAATTTCGTGGGTCATTAAAAGCTTGAAGAATCAAACGGGGCATTCAACTGAGGGGCTTAAACAAGGGGCTGGAGCTCTGCTGGCTCCTCCTCCAGTGACCAGAGTGCACTGGGGACCTGTGAAGGCACTGCCACCCACCCCAGAGCCCTCTGGCAGGTCCCCATCTCCCTCCCTTGATTCCAGCAGGGAGCTGAGGCTCCCAGTGAGGCGCCTTGGTTAAAATGCCTTTGGTCAGGTTGGGATGAATCCGGCCCTTTGTGCCTTTGTGTGCTGGTGCCAATCCTGTAAATCCTCACTCACTGAAGGACTTCACTTATGTGAGCAAATATTGCCATTGGGGTCGGCAAGGGAGGACAACTCCTACATTTACAGGGCTTCAGGAACATTCAAAATGTTGAATAATGCCTATTATTCATTCTAGAAGAGTCCCCACCTTCAAACCGATAGGCAGTTGCTTTGCAAAATACACAGCTGGTTGTGTAATAATTCAGGCCTTTTAATTACAAAATGCACCTCTGTTTTATTGCTAGAGAATGGCTCAACTGGCAAATCAACCCCAAAAGATTGTTTGTTTACCCTTCTCTTTGAAATCTGAAATGAGGGACCGAAAAAAAAGTGCCAAAAGTGCCAAGGGCTTGTTTATGTGCTGAAGTATGGTCCTGATTTAATGGGAATGCCTGTGGAGATAAGTGTAAGTGTGGTGGGGGGCTCTTTGAGAAGTTTGGGGCTGAACGAGGCAAAAATGGCAAATAAACAAAAGTCCCTTGGAAAAAAATATGCAAAAATACAAGAGAAGAGCAAAATAATCTGGTTGTGCATACACCTGGCGAGGTTTGCTATTGACACTGGGCGAGCCAGGTTTTCCTCTTTGGATTTTGGCAGGGAGCTGGGCCCGGCTGTTTGTGCTTGACTGGGTGAACATGAACCTCTCTCTGTTCTCCCTCCGTGGATCCTGAGCTCTTTCCTTCCCCTTGGCCAACTCTCACCAGGAAGGAAGGACGGGGTTTCCATAAAACGTGGGGAGAGCGTGACGTTCCTCCAGTGGCAAACACGGGCTTGTCTTTCCTCCTGGGCAAGTGTCTTCTCTCTGATTCCTTGCTGAGAGCTCAGACTGCCAGGCAGCGATGGAAAAAAGAGGGGAAAAAAGGGAACTTTCCCTTCTTCTGCCCAAATCTGGGGCTTTGCAGCGATATCACACCTGGTCCAGGCTCAGTCCTCTTCTGCCAAGGCACCAAAGCATTTGCATGAGATTTGGCATGGCACAGTGAGTTTTTACAAAATCCACAGGGTAGCTGAGGGTGTTGCTGGTCCACAATGAATATTGGCTTAAATGACAAGCCCTGCTCACCAAAACCCTCAGGAAAAGTAGTGCAGGAGGGGAATGAACCTCTTGGAGCAGCACAGTCCCTTTGGGCAAGGGCATGGTCTGTCTAGAAGCTGCTTTAAATGTTAAATTTAGATGTTTTAAGAGGACCAAAATTGAGTCTGAGGGGATTAATCTGGCTAAACTTTAGATTCTCAAGGCAGCTCACTTGGTGAGCAAACTGGAAGTGATGGGGAGACAAGAAGTCCTCCAGGGTTTGATGGTCACAGGTGAAGTTGCTCTCAAAGTAATTTAGGTAATTAGCCCATGCAGTGCTGGCAGGTGTGGGGCAGGATGGAAATGCAGAGCACCTAGAGCACATTTAGCTGGTCTGAAACACCCGGGAGAGAGTGAGAAGGAACTGAGAGGTGAGGTTTTGGTCTTGCCTGTGCATTGATGAGAAAATTCTTGTTGGGATTTGTTCAGACCTAACTTCCATCCCTGGTCCTCCAAGCAGTGAAGCCCTTCCTGTCCCAGCAGCAAAATGAAAGTAAGAATTCTCAGAAAGCAAATTTTCTCCAGAGAAAAATGTGCGTGAGCAGTCCCACATGTTTGTTATGGGACAAGCCTGAGAAGCGAGAGGCTGCTGGCCGGAGATGTTTTTCCTGTGGAGCATTCCAGGGAAAGGCCCATCTGGAGTGGTCAGTGCCTGGAGCTCCTGCAAGCTGTGTTTTCCCTCCCATCCCACCTGCCTTGGGTTGAATATCCCCTGTCCCCTCTCTCCCAGGCCAAGCCTTGGACTGGCGATGACCCGGTTGTGTTTCCTCCCTTTCAGATCACGCAGCTGAAGATTGAGAACAATCCCTTTGCCAAAGGCTTCCGTGGCAGCGACGACATGGAGCTCCACAGGATGTCCAGGATGCAGAGGTAACATGTGTCACCCTCATGGGGACCCTCCCAGGGCCACCAGAGCCACCTGGGCCTGGCTTGGCACGTCCCTCGTGGCCTGGCTGTGCCGGGTCATGGTGCTGCTCCCTGCCTCGGCATCTGCATGGGTGTTCTACAGCAGGGTGTTGAAATATTCCCAGGACATGGGGCCAAAATCCAGGACTTTCTGCTCCCAGTGGAATTCTTGAATTGCTGGGTGGCAGAGAAAGGACCTCACTTGTGTCTTGGCCACAGGGGCTTTGCATTTCTTTCAGACACGTCCCCATCCAGAAGAACCTTTAGCTTTGTACTAAACTCTCCTCTCTGAGGCTGGACTTAGACCCATTCAAAACTTGGAGTAGCTGGGAGAAGCTCTGGCCACCAGGCTACTGTGGGAGAAGTCCTGAGTGTTCTTTCTCCCAGGTGACAGTGCTTTAAAGACAAAGCTCCCAGCCTTCTTTTGGGAATATAGTTTTTAAGCTTGCTCCAGCTGCCTCTGGAGGTGGTGGTGAGAGTCCTGTGCTCTGTTGTTACTGGCTTTGGAGGGGCTTTGGCAGGAGGAGAGTGTTTTCCTGCTGGGTTCTGGATGTGCAGAGCAGGAGCAGAGGTGTGGTGGTTTCAGGTTCCTTGAAGAAGGAAAGGTTAGAAAATGTTGGGATCTCCAGGGCCAGGTGGCTGAGGAGACCTTTTCGAATCTCGGGTTTGGCTGCAAGTACTTAAGCTGAAAACCAAGCCTAAATCTTGTTTGAAAATCCTGTTTAATGTCCTTTTCTAAATGTCAGGTCCTGCTGGTAATTAACTTCATGCTTTTCCCTTCACTTGGAACTTTCTCCATGTGTCAAGCTGCTTCCTGGTGCAAATGTTTTGCAGGAATGGTGCCATACCCATGAGTCGAACTTAGATGGAGATTCTCTCAGAGCATTTTCTAGGAGGGGAGGAGCCACTCAGATCCTTTATTTCTGGTTCCTGCTGGAGAGATCAGCTTTGGGACCTTCTGATGGGAGGGGTTTTCCCACTGCCCACCCAGGAGCCAGCTGTAGGTGGTCACTTCTGGTTGTTGTAGTTGATGACCTGAGTGTGGCTCTCCATAGCCAGGAAAATTCTGCTGTCAGGCACCAAATAATTCCTGCAGTCCTGCAAACACGCCTGGAACCCACTCAAACTGGGCAAATATCCTCCTGTGTACAAACATGTTCAGACTCAGCCCCAGAAAAGCCAAGACAGATGCATAAAAAAGTAAAAAATGTATAGGTACCACTTAATCTGCTCCATCGAAATCATCTCCATGGGCTCCTGAATGTGTCCTGTGTTCCCTGCCTGCCCTTTCCAACAGATCCTGGCAGGATCTGTCAATATTTATTTATTTATGGTGGCACTACCCCTTGAAATAGCTCCCCCCACCCCGTGCCAGTCTCCCAGCTCCTGCTGGAACTTGAGTGATGATGTGTTCCCCCCTCCCGCCAATATTTTTTTTTGCTGCCAAACCACCCTTTCATTACAGTCACTGGAAAGATTTGAAGGTTTGGATTCAGTGGGGGGGTGTTTCTGGAGCAGGAGGGAGGAGGTGGAACAGGGAGGACTCTTAGGAAGGGCTCGGTGCCATATGAAGAGCATGGCATCAAGCCACGCTGAGCCCGTGCTAAAAATTGATTGGCATTTTTATGCAGGCGCTGCGGTCCATGATCCAGGGAACAGGAACACTGGGAATACATAAATACACCCACTCAGGCCTGGCAGGGCTGGAAGGGTTAAAATCGTTGCCTTTACTGGATAATTTCTGATGTTCATTTTAATAACTCAGCAGAGGAACGGCTGTGTGCTTTTACAAAGGTGGCATTTTTTTAAGGGAGGGCAGGAGAAGATGATTATGGTAAAACAAAGACCCATTCAAGGTTGCAAATATGTGCCCACCTTTGTGGGTTTTTTATGTAGATATATGAATATATTCAAAATTATATATGAAAATATATAAAACCATATATAAAATCAGTTATATATATAAATAAATTGCAGCTATAAAAAATAGGTTGTGTCTATGAGATAAAGAACCATTCAGGATTGAGAATATTGCAGAACTATGCCCTGCCTTTTGTGGGTTTATATAGATTTGACACATAAATATGTATTAAAATGTAATTAAATATGTATTTTATATATTTTAATATATAAATGTATGTTTATGATGTTGTTTCCCAGTGATGGACCAGTCAGTCTATTCTGGTTTTAGGGGAATAGTGTCCATTTGTGCCCTTGGAGATGATGGTGGGATGCTTTTTTAGTGCTATTCCTTCATTATGAAAAAAAGTAGCTGGAAAACCCCACATGTTTATAACAGTGCAGAGTTTTTGTACCAGAAACTTCTGAGCTGACATTCACCCACCGTGGCTTCGGGTCCATCCCTCTCCATGGCTTTCTCCTTTCCAGGGCCTCCCATATTGTTTTTTTTTTTTCCTCTGATTTCCCAGAAAAAAAAGCAATAAGTCTGCCCAGGTAGAACTTCATTCAGGAGTGGTGGGAAGACTTTCAGCAGCAGAGGATTTCACTGGAAAAGAGGAGCCACGAGTCCAGAGAGATCCAAATTCCAGTGAATGTTCCTATTCCTCCCACTGCCTTTCTTTGCTGAAGCACAAGAGGTGCCTTCAGCAGCTTCTTTGGTAGGATGGACCTCCTGGGTAGGTTTTTCAAAGCTTTCAAGTTTCTGAGCATGAGGTTGAGTTTTTTATTTTATTGATTAGGGATCCCCCCCTCAAAAACACTAAAAAGCAAGGAAAAAGCATAGAGGGATGTGAGTTTTACTACGTGTGTGGGTCTGGAACACTGGGAGGGAGCAATTCTGGTCAGCCCTGTAACCAGTTCTTGCTGCTCACCTGCAGCTCCTGTTATCTGTGGTGGTTCTTTTGGGGGCTGGGCAGCTTCTGGTAGTCTGGAAGGCCCTGGTTATTTTGTAATTTAATTAATTTTGTAAATTAATGCAGTTCAGCCTTGAAGCTTCTGCTGGGAAGGCTTTTGAGGGGGGTGATGATGCCATGAAATGGTGGCTCTTGGCTGTCTCGGTGGGTACTCTGAGCCCTTGAGAAGTGACCAAAAAATCCAGAAGGCTCCACGTGAGAGGGAAGAGTGACAGCGCAGTCTGACGTGGTGGCTGCGTTTTCTCTGTCAAGGATCACGAGCCAGTTTGCTGCCTTTGGCATTAATCCACAGCAATCTTCTTGGCTCCAAAGGAATTATTCCAAAGATTCCCATGTGTCATCGAGAGCAGAAACAGGGCCAGACACAGAGGACACAAAATCAGCTCCGTGAGTCAGAGCCAGCGTGACAGAGATGACAGTGCATTTTGGGGTGCCAGCAGAAGAAATGGGTGAGCTCTGGTGTTCCCTGGCTTTCCAGCGTCCTGTTGGACTGATGGGCACCAGGCTGACTCAAGCATATCAGTCTTGGTCACCTCGTTCTTCTTGTGCCTTCTCGCTGCCTCACATCTTGAATCCACTTCCATTTCCCAGGTTCTGGGAAATCTCCCGGGGTCACCCTCTGTCTGAAAGGTTTTCAGTGTGAGATTTGGCATTATAACATCTGCTGGGGAGGGGATGCTTTCCTCCAGCACACATCCCCCAGGAAATATTCCTGCTCCTGGCTGAAATGTGTTCTGTAGAATTTGACAGAATTCAGATGAAATCCAAAAGGAAGCTGGGCAGAGCTCACTTATTCACAGCTTTTTTTGAAGTGAGAAAGCCACTCAAGAAACACAGGGTAGCTGCAGTTTCTGTCACTGACCTTCCTCTGGGGATTTCAGCAGCAGGATTTGATCAGCAGAAGCTCAGCCCAGCACGAGGGGATGAGATGCTGCCTCTGGCCCATGTCCATTCTCCAGATTCTCTCGTGTTTCTCTTACTCCAGCATCTTTTTCTGGAGAAATTTATCTTTTTATTTGCCTGCTAATGAGAGCTCTTGGTCTCTGCCTGGTTCTTTTCATTGCTGGTTCTTGGGTTGGTGGCAGCGATGGCTTTGGGCTGCACTGCTCAGAGGAGTTGCTGACAGACCACAGGATCATCAGGGGATGGTTTGGGTTGAAGAGATCTTAAATATCTTAAAGATCATCTCATCCCACCCCCTGCCATGGCAGAGACACATTCCACTAGCCCAGGTTGCTCCAAGCCCTGTCCACCCTGGCCTTGGGCACTGCCAGGGATCCAGGGGCAGCCCCAGCTGCTCTGGGCACCCTGTGCCAGGGCCTGCCCACCCTCACAGGGACATATTTTGATCTAATATCCAATCTAAACCTATTCTGTCAGTGTGAAAGCATATTCCCTTTTCCTGTCACTCCAGGCCCTTGTAAACAGTCTCTCTCCAACTTTCTTGTAGGTCACCCTGAAACCTTCTCTTTTCCAGAGACAAATTCCAATCCCAGCGTTTTCTCCTAGCAGAGCTGCTCCATCCCTCTGCTCATCCTGGTGCCTCCTCTGGATGTAATCCTGCCTGTGCTGGGCCAGGGCTGGGGCAGCTCTGCAGGTGGGGGCTCACCTGAGGGGCTGAACCCTCCCTTGTCCTGCTGCCCATGATGCTGGGGAGGCAGCCCAGGACATGGGAGGTTTTTTGGGTGCTGGGGCATGTCCAGCTCTCCCCACCAGCACCCCCAGTCCCTCCTCCCCAGGGCAGCTCCATCATTTCATCCCTGGATCCCAGGATTGCCCTGCCCCAGCACTTGGCCTTGTTCAGCTGCCTGAGATGCCCAGCCCAAGGGTCCTGGAGCCCCTCAGGTCCTGGCAGGGAGGTCAGGGCACTTGCTGTGTTTGAGGAGAGCAGGGCACTGAGCAGACTCTCGTACTCCTCAGTGGCATTTGGATTTGTGCTGCTGCACATCCAGCCTCGGCTCTTCTCTCTGCGGGGCTGCTCCCCAGTCCCCACGCAGAGAGGGCTCGTGTTCAATCAGAGGCTGAGGCTGCTGCAAGTCCTCAGGAATTCCTCTCCTACCACAGCCTTTCCTGCTGTAGTTTATCCCCTTC